CACCCCGGACTCTACCCCCACTAGACCTTGGCGCCACCTAGTGGTCGGGCAATTGCTGGGACGGGCTTCCCCTTAACGAAGGTCTCTAGATCCAAGGCACTCTTCTGCATCACGGCATCCCCAGCCAAGTGTTAAAAACGCAACTTGGCGTCTGGCGGCGCACCAAGCATATATGAAATAGGTTATATAACATAAGCATTTTGTTTCTTTAAATGTGTTCTTCTCGGCACTTCACATGCTTCTATCCATCAGTTCCCTGTCGACAGTGTAAACACGCTGTAAAATATTACCCCCCCCCCTTCTCAATACGTAATGTAGTCCCCCCTTCAAACTTTCCGTTGTTGCCACCTAGTGTTTCCTTCAAAATATCAAAGGGTGAGCACATAATGTGATGGAATGCTGTAACCATGGTAAAAAACGAATTACTTATGATACGTCTTAATTATAAGCACGTCAGCTGCTACGCGCGATATGACTGATGTCCTCGTCAAATATTTTTCTATAAGAGCAACCAAAAAACGTAATGTCTCTTTACTTCTCACTGTCCTTTCCTATTTCTGACATTTTAGTCACAGTTACTCTCCCCGCATCGCACTTCCTCTCGTTTCATCTATATCAAAATTATTATTGTTACTCCTTCAATTCATATAACATCAAGGGCTTTATTTTTTCTATGCAAAGGAGAAATTAACGCGTTATTTAAGAACAAACAAACGTAGCCTGAACAGCAGCAGCATCGGGTGAATAATATGAAGGTACATTTTTGTGCAGCTTGAAAAAACAACAGAATATAATCCCGTGGCTACTGTTTGGTCTGTCCGCCCACCCATGCCTTTTCAATAACGGTTTATCGGGCTGCTGTTCAGTCATTTTAATTAATTCGGCCGTTTCCTGTAGTATCATCCGAAATTGCACGGCACAACTGCTGCAGTGTGATGTAATGGTCCGCACTTATAAGCCGTGGGTTGAGCGTCGTGATCAGACACGGTTATTATATCTATAAATACATTTCGCGATTGAATCCCTATAAACACCATATATAATTTTTTTTAGAATAAAGATATCAGGATTATATTGCCAAAACAGCAAGTGCATAATATAAGTACACTTCTCATGGGGTGCGAATAAAAAAAAATGCTTTGATATCATACCAGGACAGTTAATATGTTTGTACAAATCAGAAATGAAATAAGTGAAAAACGAAAAATGTTTTCCCAGAATTTTGCAGTTTTCGAAGTCCGGCTGCTCTTGATAATGGCACGCAAAATGTCTAAAATTAAAATTAAGATAACTTTGGTTGGAATACAGTTTTCTTCCAATCTTCCAAACTTCATATGCAGTATTATTTTATTTATCGACATTGACCGCATAACTTCAAATAACTTCAAAAGAAACGTTATGATATAAATACCAATGTTTCGGGACATTATGTCTCTTTAGGCAATGTACAGTGACGCCAGCAAAAATAAATAAATAAATAAGAAGAGCGCCCGCTGTCTCTGCTGTTGAGCGCGCGCACCCACTACTGGAGAGGCATTACTGGGATTAGTGCACATGATTATAACCGCGACTGTATCCAGAACTGCAGACCGCGAGGCTACAGGCAGTAGTGGAGACGTAAGTGCCTCCGAAAAATGATACACAGCTCGTCTGGGTCTCAAGCTAAATGCAGGGAGAAACGGTGAATTTAGTCAAACGGACTCCATTTCGTAGACGCCGCGTGCTGCTGCTTTGAGTGGAAATATTAAACTAGAATAATATTTAACAGGCTTGGGGGGGCAAACGTAAAGTTTTTTTTTTTGTATTCATGCATACAGAAGAGGGATCATGCGTGTATCATGTGTGGCATGCTGTCTCTGTACAGGCTGTGACTTCAAAGTCATGTCTGAAGTCCGCCATTTATTTGTTAGGATGACGTGCTCTAATTTCCCGCTTTGCCAAACTATTACAGATATCAGCGGTTTGATCTTCATGCGAGATAACAGTTAGTAGAGGCTGAACGTGTATATGCATTTTCCAACGGTGGACTGGAATCTGACAGCAGATAAACAGCCTGTTTTCTCTTTGTCCAAAGACCGACCTTTGGCGCAGCTCGATTTCCAACACGTGTTTTGCGGGGCATAATTACAATGGAGCTAATATTTCAAAAACATGATCAGCTTCTGATCCTGACTTTGATAATCACATAGTTGCTAGTATTTTAAAAAGAAACTGCTGTGTGCACAACAGGATCTGTTTTTAATAGAAATAAAATTAAGTGTCCACAACCTGATGTACTGCCAAATATCAGAGCACATTCACCGTAAGGTGTTTGTATTTCCACTCGAATCCTAAACTGGGCTGTTATGAAACAGCAATTCAGCAAAAAAAAAAAACCACACTTCAAAAGAGTAATGAATTTGTGTGTGGGCAGGGAGAATGGGCGCTGTTGAGAGAGGTCTTTAATACACAAAATGTGTTATCAGTTTGCTTACAGCACAATATGCAGGTCAGGTACAGAAAGGGAAAATAATAAAAATTACTACAATTTAATAGTTTGTCAGTCTCTTCAGGGATAAGGTAATTATGGGAAATGTTTGTTTAAAGATAATAATAAATATATGATAAATATATTATTTAGGTTACTAAGATAGTCCTACTCTGTTTTTAAAACAAATATCTAATTGACCGAATTCAGTTCAAATTACAATTGAAAATAAATGTCTTTTTGCACTCCCTGCCACAATTTTGTGGAAACACAAAGAAAGCTTTGCTTGTTATCCTCACCGCTGAGGTAAACATGGGTTATTCTGATTTAATGGAAAACTATCTATCCCCCATCGGTTTTCTATATCGCTCGTCATATGCAGGGACGGGCCCCCACAACCCTGAATGGAAAACAGATTGATAAAACACATTTACTTACCTGGTAGGTATGGCATTCTTCTGAAGGGAATATTGAGGAAATAAAGCAAAAACGTTTTAGAGTACCCATGTTTCTGTAACCATGGAAAACTGAAGCAGCAGCACTGTGATCATTTTGCTACTGAATCCAGTTGCTGACTGGGGAGCATTTACTGTAAAAATCAGGTTATGTTCTTATGAACTAACTGAGCATTAAACCAAAATAAGCCACCCATGGCTGCTGGTAGTTTGGTGTCTAAAACACTGATCGTAACAGGATTTCAGAAAACTCAGAAACTTTGCGTTTATTTATAATGCCGGGTTGACTGCAGGTATTTCCCATGTGTTTGTACCTCCAGAAGGCTTGATCTAGACTGAAGAAAACAAACGGCAGTGTTCTACTCGAGCACTGTTAGCCCTTGAAGTCAGAATGTAGAACCTCTGTTCTACCTAAATGTTTTGTTCGTTTGAGTCCCTGCCACTATTGAAAATTTAGCTTTAATGCTGGGAGATGATAAATTAAATAAGGTCACTGTTGCATGCCGATGTTTTTGTGAGTGAAGGCGACTCACTCATAAAGATATCCATTGTTATAATTGTGATTGTTTATAATTATCAATAATTTCTCGGTGGTGGTGAGGCTGGAGTCCGTGCCAGCCAGTGCAAGGCGTGATGCGGGGGGGGCAGCTTCTCAGCCCCTCCCAGGGTGCACACTCACAACAGCGAGTGTGTGAGGAAAACATCCACATTCCCAGAGGTATTTGGCCACTGTGCATTCCACAGCATCAGTTAACATATCAATAAATTCATTGTAATTCTGCAGCATACCATGCGATAAAAATGCCTGTTTCTAAGACATACCTGTATGTATTTGCTGTGGAACCAGTTTTCTCCATTGGTCATTATTTTGAAAATATACTGACAATTTTTTTTTTCTTCAGGATGAGCTACAAATGTGTTGATATTTGATTTTTTTTTAAAGCATGTTACATATCCAGCCGGTGTCAGAACCTCACTGTCTGATTCGAGTGCAGCTCATCTGTTTCACAGGAAGATTTTTGCTTATAAAGCAGAAAACAGTCCCGTCTGTGTTTGGATGGTGGGTGGAACGGGGGGCATGTTCCCCCCCCCCCTTTAAAAAAAGGTTGAGACCATGCATGCTCATTGTTTGCCCCCCCCCCCCCCACATCAAAAATCTCTCCTGCGCCCCTGCTTTCAACACATAATTGGTGATCAGCATATTTGTGGAAGATACATACATTCACCAGTTTAACTCTTCAATCCTTTGCCTGCATTTTATAAAAGCTGCTATAGATAGTGGTCCTCTCGAACCTGGAGCTTAAGCCTAGATTAAGTGTGGAAGGTCATTTTAATGAGCAGGGGGTTCAGGGTTCTGGGGTGGTGTTTCGTGTTTTTTGGTTAAATCATGCGGCTCATCATGTGGAAGAAGCTCTCACCCCCATGGCCATTTCATGACCTCAAAAAAAAACCCTACACCTCCCCCCCCAGCGCATCAACATATGCCCATCTCATGTTTCTATATGCCATCTGAACCAGAAGACGTTTCACAGTCACATTGCAAGATAAACACAGCGGAAACATCTCAAGTTAATGTATTAACTGGTTGTGAAGATTAGTTATTATGAAAGATATATGGTAACGCTTTCCAATAAATGTGCCTTCATAATGCATTCATAGAACATTCATAAGCTGCATGTAAGTCTACGTTAACATATTCATTAATATACATTAATAACAAACATTATAATCAAATATTATATTCAAATAATGTTTGTTATATATGTATATTATTTTTACATTGAAAATATTACAAATGCAATGCTTTAAGACCTGTTAAGATATAATTACATACTGCTTATGAATGTTCTACGAGTGCATAATAAATGCATTCTGAAGGTACACATACTGTACAGCATTACCAGATGTATTAAGGACCATTATGTACTTTTAAACATGAAAGATATTTCTGTTATCCATCAACTGTTTATCCTGGGGAGGATCACAAGGGGAAAGCTACATCACAGATGGGATGTTTTTCACGTTCAGTACATTATTTAATAAATTACACAAGATATTCAACATGCGCACATTTTAAAATAGGGCTTTGTGTTAATGCTTCTGACCCAACTGTAGACTGATGTAAGTGTTCTAAGCTTGTTTAAGGTAGGCTAGGCTAGGCTATGATGTTTACTAGGTTAGGGACTGTATTAAAATGCATTTTTGACTTGGTTTATCGGAAAATAACCCCATCGTCGTCTAGGGAGAGGCTGTGCTCAATTGGAGATTTTGAAACAGACACCCATTAGCTTAAATGCATGTCTTTGGTTGGTAGGGGGAATCTACATGACATGGAAAATCCACATGACATGTGAAGAACATGCAAACTCTACCCATAGTGTAGGGATCGGATTCAAACCTATAACCCAGGAGGTGTGAGGTCACAGCGCTGGCACTGAGCCACCATGCTGCACATCAGCTTAGTTCAATTTAGCCAGACTCGTTTTTGACACAGTGCCTTTTGCAGCACAGTCACCCTGGAGCACTTTGAGATTGAACAAGAACAGCCCCATAGAATGACTGCCGGCTAATATTATACTGTAGTGAAACGAGTGTGTGACCAAAACTCCTCAGGGGAAGTCCACGGCCAGTTATGCAACTTTCCCACTATTTTGCCATCACAATTTATTAGAAAATGAGCAGACATCTTTCTCATACTTTTTCTTAAGGACTGTAACAGAGTGAAATTTAAATCTCCGTCGATTCTCCTGGAGCTGGTCGGTAACGCGAGGAGGCCGGGCAGGCAGTAACGATGAGCGATGCCTGCGAGTGCGTCGGCTGAACGACCACTTTCCCATGATGAGCTTTATCTCTAAGCACCATAAACTGCGGCGATAAGCGTGAAATGCCCCCGCAGGAGCACTGAGCAGGAAGTGGACGAGGGATGCAGCAATTTTCAAAAGGTATCAGCCACGAGTGAATTCCCTACAACCACATATTTCCTACAAAACCTCTGACGGCATCTGGAAGACCAGCATCCCAGATGGTCCAGCTGAAGGGTACAAAGTCCTGAAGACCCATCCATGCTACACCGTAAATAAACGGACTCTTCTTCAGTGATGTTGATTCTGTGATCTATAGTATCAACATGGGTCTCCATGTTCTGATTGCTTGTTATCAGTTTATGATGACTTAGCAATCACTTTAGAGACAAGCAGGGCCAGCTGGTCGGCATGTAAGCAGTGACAGTAGTAAGGAGTAAAAAAAATAAAATAAACACTGAGCTGATTGCAAAGAGTCCTGCACATGGTCAGCTACACTTCTACTACTCTGGCTTCCTGCATTTGCATGTTACTTACTTAACAGCTGCTCACAATCAAGATGTTCAGGAATATAATCCCTGAGAATATATTTTGACTACAACAATAACACAGCTAAATTTTTTTGTAAATGCTTATCTTTATCTGAGTTTACAGTGCTGCTTCCTGTTTCTCAGGATGGAGACATACAGTAACAGAGACTCAAGCCCTGGTCCCAGAGATGTGAGGCCGGACTTTCCACTTCATACTTTACTAATGACATGACCAGAAGGAAATACTGCATCCACCAATTATCATATCAAATCATTTGAATAAACCAATAAGAGAAGTAATAATACACTGTCTCATGAATACAGTTACCATACACACAATCATATGCACAGAATACTGTAAATT